TTAGTTTGTTACCAGGCCTCTGGAGAACTTCAGGACATGTTGAGGAGCTAATTTAGCCATTTAAATCAGCTGTGTTGGTTCGAGGACACATCTAAAACCTGCAGGGACACCGGCTCTCGTGGACTGAGATTGCCCACCCCTGGGCTAGAATGTCTGACTCAAAGCTGCTTCCTGACGGACATGGTTTGTGTCTGCATAATCGCTGGGACAGACATCCTCAGTAGTTTGTGTTTGGAGCTCCAGTGTTCCTCCTGGTCCTGGTTTTGTATGTCTTGGATCCCACACGCACAGCTCTCTTGGTCTTCATCCTGATCTGATGACACAGATACCACTTACTTTAAATATATTTGACCATAAAACCACAAAATCGATTAATATGCAACACAGTTTCATCCTTTAGTCATGTGGTAGATTATCAAAACACTAAACCTCCTCACAAAACTATCACTAATTCAAATATAGGTTTATAAAATGCTGTAAAAACAAAATAAATCCTGAGATATGTACCCTTGTGTCATCACTGTCATCTCTGGGAACAAACAGGTCTGAACAAAGACTTTGGTGCCTTCCAGTCACCTCCAGAAGGTGGTAGATCTTCATGCTGTTTCTGATCTACTGTAGCATCGGAGTCAGATGCCCAAGAACAGATCTGTTTAGAAAAGCAAACACAGTCATTATTCAAAACAGATGGGCTCTAAACCAGGGATTTAACTTTAAATGTTACTGTCAAACGTTTTGGTTTTATATTGTCTATTCAAATATACTGCGTTATTATACTGTCCTGTTTATCAGTCCTGTGTAACCACAGCTCACAGTTTCCTCAGTGAGGTCTGTCAGGTCGTCTGCCACTTCCACCTGCATCATATAAACAAAAACAATAAATGATTTCACGTTTTTAAAAGTCAATAACTATAAACGCACACACACACTTTGGTCAGCTGGGGAGCATCAAAGTCTTCTCAGGAAGCATGGTGGTGGACGTCCCTGTGCACTCCTGCAGTTCAGAGCCCTTCTTCTGTCGCTGCCACTGAATGAAGCCTCTTTGAACAGGATCACTGCAGTAATCCTAAACTCTTTGCTCGTATCCACCTGACTGCAGCACATCTGCTTCACTGAGAAGAAAAATGATGAAAGTTCCTTAAAATTAAATCAAATGTATTAAAAACAAGAGCAGATATTCAAATCCAGCCTGAATAAATCGGCCAAAGGATCTGGTATGTTGATGGCACACTGTGTTGGGTCTGTGTTTCCACAAGCCCCGCTAATTCTAGAGACTTATTCATCATGAAGAAAACAAGACAGTCGATCGATCGATCACTTGCGCAAGGGAGGCCTCGTCTGTGTCCACCACGAAAATGACC